GAGCACCCCTCGAGAGCTGCGAGGGTACAGTGGAATCCGTGTACACTCCCTATCGGGATTATTGGAGATGTGTCACTAACGTATTTACAATGTTTTAATATTTACAAGGACAATCCCCACCCCAACACGAGGGAGTGTTAAGACACCGGGCAGAATCTGTTATTATGGTGGAGGAAGACGAAGTACTCGGAGAGAACCACCGGGCTGCTCGGCGGGAACAGACAAACCGAAGAGATATCAACAGATTGATCTCCAGGTCAAAGTCGGGAGCAACTTTGACCAACCGAGGCCCCCAAAGTACCCATTCTAGTTTAAACTCCGGTCTGGGTACCAGAGATGTGTGTGAGAGGGTGAAAATCACCCTTCTGATGTACTGATATTTTTAGCACCCCGAGTGAGAATCGAACTCGGGACTTTCAGCACTGTAGCCATCGGTCTTAACCTCTAGACCACGAACTCACTATGAACATCAAAATTATTTATTTTGTACAAATATTTCCTTTCTCCTTTTAAACTGTATACCTAACAACAAAATTATTTTCATTTACCTGTGTATTATATTATTGTAAATGGCTGATTTTTGTTTAAGGTTATTGTTGTTTTTCTTAAATTGTTTAACATTTCACAGCGGTATAATACTGTTACTTTAATTATTCATCCCTAACTTTATTGATTTGGTTTTTGCATTGTATCATAGATCAAATGTATTCGTTCAGTGTATGTACACTTATGTTAATATGTCTTTTGTCTCTTTGACATATTCCCCATTTCCATTCTAAATTTAATTTTTTATCCTCAGAAACAAGATTCTCAGAATGCCTCCCATTATTTAAATGGGCTAATAAACCATTCAACCAATGTTTTCAAAGTTTAATAATTTCTTACCAATCATAAAATGGAGGTCAAGTTTGATATTGACAATTTTCATGTTTGTTGTTCTGAAGTTATTGTCCTTGATTGATTGTTAAATGGCCCTTGTATGTCGTTTCTGTGCAATTACTTGAAAACTGACAAACCGATTCTTTTGAAAGTTAAATACATTGTTACAATTCACAAAATAAAGGTCAAGTTAGATATTGATGATTTTCTCTTTTTTTCAGTGTAATAACTTGAGAACTGTTCAACCAATGCTTTTCAAATTTGAAAATGTTGTTACTGATCATAAAATGGAGGTCAGGTTCTGTACATTTGTCTTTCAGGAGTTATGATCGTTGGCAGGTACGGTTCCAGGATTTTAAAAAGGGCGGGGCTGGCAAGACCAATCAAGTTATTACAGAGAATACATAAAGTGCTATTTCCCAACCAACCTTAAATCCTGAATGACAAAAGTGAAAAAAGTCAATATCGAACATGACTACCAATTTGTGATCGGTAAACCACATATCAAAATTCAAAAAGCATTGGGTAAATGATTCATAAGACTAAGCTGCCTGCAAATCCACCAAACAACCTCAAATCAATAACAGAATTCTGTCGATAATCCAGATGAATAAAATTTCAAAAAAAGCAAATAGAGCTCAATATATTGTCTACAACCATTTATGTCAATACAATATTCCAAGCTCTAAATCACCCTGAGAATTCTTTAAGTTGTGGATACATTAAATAGAGACAACCTAACTAAATCTTTCACATTCCTAAATGAACAACACGAATAAGGTTCTTGAATTCTTTTCGGTGGAATACCATATTCAATTTGGTTAAACTTGCCTCTTGTCAGTTGAGGGTGGAAAGTTTATTTTCATAAAGCAGACAAGTGTATAAATTTATATAATAATTTAATATGAGTAATGTGTGCCCATAAACAATGGTAACATGTACAATGAACCATCAGAAATACAATCATCCATAAATAGTGTGACAATGAAAACTTTGGCAGATACTACCTAAATATATTATTATCTATGATTATTAATGGAAAATCTGCTGAGTTACGTATTATAATTTAATAATTGTGTTTGTTTTCTTCATGTTAACTTGTACTTCCAGAATTGATCTGGTATAACACAAAATAATATGAAGTTACAACTTCCATGATGGGGATTTTACAATATTTTACCAAAAAACAAAGATTTAAATGTATGAATGAATATTTTTCCTTGTGTAAAAAAACAAGAGGAGCATACATACAATATATCAGATGTAAATTTTGATTTGAATGAAAGCATGAGTCAACATTAGTCAATGTTCTTATAAACACTAGAATTCATTAACAAGTTAACTATTGGTAACATACAATCAACTTTAAAATTTGTAAACACTTCACAATCTATACCAAAGTGTCAACCATAGCCATGCTTATAAACATCATACATTTCAATCAATACTCAGAATTTCAACAACAAAAATAATTCATACCACTGATATATAAGCTAATTTAATATCTTATGTTATCTTTGAAGTATCCATTTAATTGCTTTTTACAATTCTACCTCAGTCTACTTTTAACAATTCAAAAATAGAATAAAACCTTACTAAGAACACTCTTTTCTTTTAAATAAAAAATCAGAAAAAGATATGATCATTGTCATAATAAAGACATTACAGATTTTGATAACCTTCCAACAAATACCCTCCAATAGTCAAGCATATAAACATGAGCACACACAACCTTATAATGAATTGTTGACAAATTTATTTTGATATAAATATTGTTGATTATAATTTTTTGACTAGTACCAGAGGTTAAATAATTTATAATGTATCTAACTGATTGAAGCACTGATGCTTAATTACATGGCAAAAACTATTGCATTAATATATATTTTGTACATTTTTGCAATATAAAAACAGGGTAATTGCTGATATCTGTTGCTTTATATTGGGTATTTACATAAGCTAACATTGAAAATGCAATGCCATGTTTCATTTATTTAAAATTTTGCTATTTGGTGTTGAACTTATACTTACAAAAAATAATCAATACATAAAAACACAAAGAGATTGTCATCTAAATTAATGGAATTCCTTGAATATAAAGGCATTATTGGTCCCTAATTTAAAACATAAAATTCCCGGTTATGAAAAGTCATTCATTTATTGTTAAATGTTTTGACAAAATCAATATACTCAAATGAGTAATTAAGGTGGTACCAAACACCTTGACTAAAAATGATTTGGCTCGTGTAATTTTCATAAAATTTTGACAAAATATTTACTTTGACCCTTTGACAAAAATATAAAAATTTAAAAAAACTTGAATCACACACTTTATCGGAAAAATTTCATTGGGTATATAGCGATTTGACAAACACTAATTTTGATCATTGAGAAGCTTAATGTTTCCTTAACAATAGATCGTTGTTCAGCTGTTTTAACAGACTTATCTCCCTGTACTGTTATGTACCACCTTAAGTTTTTTGTACCTGTATTTAACTTTTTCAACTTTCATATTCATACATAAATTGTATAAAATCACTTTTTTACTTTTACTGTGGCAAGAATACAATTCTTTGGCACCACATAATTTCATCAAAACATATAAATTATTCTGGAAAATAAAAAAAAATTAAATCACAATGTAATACTAAGCTGTTATACAATAAGAAACATTTTGTATTTCAAAATATATTCATGTGATAGCTTGTACTTCTCAAAATCTGTGAAAAGTTGCAAAATATTGCTTTCATATTCAATATGTAGCTAGTTACAAAGAAAAAAACCTGATTTCTTGTCTCTTGCTTATAATGTCTTTTAAGAACAAACCATGATATATGTTCTTGTTAGGGCAAATATTGAATCACACAAGCAGCCAAAGTATTATAAATTCAGTGATGTTTTTATTTATGTGAATATACACATTCATAATTTCAGAAGTGATTTTCGTCTTCAAATTTTTTCATACATTGTTTCTATCATTTTTGACAGTAGTTGAGAATTCGCAATAATAAAATCATGTTTTAATTTCTGAATTCATAAAGGTGCATTCGTTTAAAAAAGTGAATATAGGCGCCTGACATTTTTCAAAGTATACAAAACCCTAAGTAATAAGTTATCTTAGCAAATTTATATTGCACATTACATTCAATAAATTAAAACGTGTGTACATTTCAGCTCCAATATTTATGAACAACTATGATCAATAACACTGTTAGTGAAAAATACATTATTCAAATGGTGAACAGTCCTATCTTAAATCATCTGTACTTGATGTGAAAATGAATACTATATACCGATGTGAAAATGAACATTGTATACCAAGTCTTTATAACACATATTATTTTCAGATTAACTTATGATATCCTCATTCGACATCATCCTATTGAAATTTATTCAAGTTTATAGTGGACAAATAGTCTAACCAAAAAAATCTCAAATTTTTATCCCAAATATATAATATAACATAGAAGTTATAATCAAAATTTACATTGATAACATTTTTGATAGTTTATTACAATATTATACTAACCACTATCTATGCTGCCAAGCTTCTTTTGTAGGCTTTCTAACCTCTCTATATAACTGTCTTGTAATGACGGCTGGTCATCAACTATTCTCACTCTACGATGTGACTGTGGACTCTCTCGGTCTCTACTTACAGTTGGTGATGATTATGGTGTTGACAGGATTTTTCTACATTTATATTTTTATATCATTAAAAAAGGATTTGCAGAATATCATTCTTGTATCCTTCATGAGTATCATTTTACTCTGTTATATAAACAAGCAATGACCTTTTTTCTGATATCTACTTATGATTTTGTTCTCATCTTATTTGTTTATAGTTAAAAAATTTTCATTTGCTAACATTAAAATCCTGCATTAGAAATATTTAGAATTTTCCAATTCAGAAAAAGGTATTCCATCAGTCAAAAGAAATTCTCAATGGATCAGATTGAAGAATCGTAATGTTTGTATGAAGTGTATATTGGACCAGTATCAGTTAACGCTGAAGCTGATTCTGGCAAGGTACTGTACCAATTCTCATTTGCATTGTAGGGAAAATTACTGTCAATAATCATAGTAAACCTATTTTCTAAATAAATTTTTCAACCTTTTTTTCATTTATACAGAGATGGATATACATACCTTCTAGCACCAGAGGTTTGTAAAGACGGTGATGATCTATAATCTTTTGACAAGTAACCATTCAGAACTGGTAATGTACCATTAGTGTATGGTGATGTACGACTATTAACTGCAATTGGTGAAGATGGATGAAAGTTATGGTCGTGACCTACAATCGGTGATCCACAAATCTGCCCTAGGGAAGTTGAATGTGGTGAGGATGTAGTACGGAATCTTCGAGATGTTGAAGACAGATATGGTGACAAACGATATAGACCATTAATGCTGGTATGTGGTGAAGAGGAAGATCTGTCATGAGGAGAATAACTCCTTCTGATTGGCATGTAACCTACAATCAAACATGTATCCAATAAAGTTTAGTTTGTATAGATATGAGAAAGTACATGTTTGGCTACTTAAACCCACTCAATAGAAAAATACAATAGAAGGTGTAAAATGGCTACAAGATGGCTACCCTTTTGCAGTTATAGCAAAGTTCATATAGATATGTGAAAAGAAACCATAGATAAAAAAAATTAAACATTTGGTGCACAATGTCATTTAATCCAAAAAGAGTCTATGAAAGTTTAAGTGAAATTTAACCTCATGTTTAGGTGGGGATGAGTTTACTATATGCAAACAGATTAACTAACAAATGGATGGACAAAAAGATACACCAATCACTATATACTGCTGCCACAGTAAACAGTGGTATAGTAAAGAATAAAACCTTTCTCTTACCTTGCTGGGTATCAACTGTACCAGATACTACAGGAGAACCAACTCTTGTTTTTCTCTTCCATCTGTTCACCAAAAACTTCATTCTAAAACACAAGATTAATACAATTCTTTTATTCTAAATGTTCAGTAAAGCCATTTTTTTTATAGAAAAAAAATCAAAGAAATAAAAACATAGCATTTGCCTCAAGATCTTTGTGGTTCAACATTTGATAGTTGTTTCATTGAAGTTTACCCACATCCTCCTATTACTTATATACATATACCAATAAGCTCAAATATATCTGTAAAATCTAATAACTGTGGAAAGACAAATACATCGACATTAGTACAAACACTGACCTGCTAACAGCCACAACTACTCTGACAGCACTTCTAAAAATGGTGTACAATCGACTGTGTGATGTACGAGGCTGCATATCCTGAGGTGATGGGAAGGCCCCCATTCTGGCTATTACTGCTAAAGTAGTTTGTTCACAATCCTGGAAACCACCCAACAATATCAACAGGTACTTTTTCTGGTAAATCAGTGCCTTTCTGTAGCTCTCTGTCCGCAAACATTTACCATACAATTGCTGCATCTGAAAAAAAACAAACCACATATATTTGTAAAATGTAGATCCTTTTGTTAGAACCTTACACTTAAATTTTGTAAAGATAGAATAGAAACAATCTTTAACTGTGCTGCGAAAGTGGTATACTTATTTCTTACAATGAACAGCATGAAATATTGAATAATTGTAATACATGTAAATTCAGAAATTATTGCAAATAATGTGACTGGTTGGGTATTGCATTAACAATTACACGCATTCTGATATCTGCTTCGTATATCTGTATGAAGATTTTCCCTAGATGAAACCACAATAATAAATCTTGCCTTTTGTCCATTCTTCAAAAATCACAATAATTAATCTTGCCTGTTTGTCCATTCTTCAAAAATCACAATAACTAATGTACAAAATAAATTCTGAATCTACAGTATTTTTCTCAAGATTTACAAAGAAATATAACATGCAGCATCTATTTTTTTATTATTTGGTATTACAACTGCTGTAATATTTTCCAAGTAGTTTCTTCATTCGTCCCCATTCAGAAGACTCACCTTCCTGATTACCTATTAATAGTTCATAAATGGTTTAAATCTGGAAATCTTTTTAAACATACTTAACCCGATTAATTCAGGCCATCCCCGTGGTCAACTCTCCCATTGGCAAAGGCCTGAACTCTTTATACAATTAAATTGAATCATGAATCAATTTTTTTTATTGATGCTCTTTGGTTGACAGATCAAATCAACTGGTAGCTTAATCTTATGGAGATTGGTAAATTCGAAGCTAATTCTGAATGATTAATTGAGGATTTTTCATTTGCTAGATTATTGCATAGCTGCAGAATATAACGACTGAATTATTCAGGTTATTACTTACTTTATCTTTGTCATGATCAGATAGAACACCAGATGATGGCAATTTAGATCTTCTATCTCTTTCTATTTTTAGATCATGTTGTTGCTGTACTATCTGTCTCTCAGCATCATTGAGTGAAAGTTGTAGAGAATGTCTCTCTTTGGCCCATTCTGCTTTGTCTTTTAAATGTTTATCAGTAAAATGAGAATTGGTCTGGTCCCCATTCTGAAATATTACATATCAAATACATCATACATTTCAGTATTAACACTTTTTCCTGGGTACCAAAGGAGTAGGTCCGGTAAGGGCCGATTTTGGCCTCAAATTTCAAGTTCATCTTACGAAAGATTTTAGACACTTTTTAAACACTTAAGTGTCTATTTCAATTGATTCGATTAGTTTATGTGAAAGATTTTAACTGATTTAGTCATTAAAAAACGCGCCGATTCAAGCTTAAATATGAAAAATCTATCAAATATGCCAAAAAACGTCACTTTTCAGATGGTTTTTGTCAAAAATGAAAGTGGCCGCATCCGTGTTCATCCTCAACCTTTATATATATTATGTCTTATCATCAAATGCAACTTACATTTCAATATTATGAATGAACACGAATGCGGCCACTTTCATTTAAGACGAAAACCGTCTAAAATTTAACTAAAATGCAAAAATTTTGAAGATTTCAGTAATTTAGCATGACTTAATGATGTTAGTACCCGATATATGTGCATTGTATTGTAAAAAAACAGCCCATATTTATGTAGCAGAAGCATTCTTCTTTACAATAAATAGCTTAACGATTACATTTTCACAATTTTGTAAAACTGCTATATTTTGGGGCCAAAAAGGGGTCTTACTGAACCTACTCCTTTCATGGATTGAGAGAAACTTACAATTTCATAGATATTCGCTTTTGTAGATTTTTCACTCAGCCGATAGAAAATTTGTAATTTGTAGAAATTTAAAAGTTTGGCTCACCTGTACCCACACAAAATTAATAATAAAACCACAGTATTTCATTCCTAAATTTTATGCTTGAAAAGTTTTGATAGTAGTCTTCTATGGATGATATATTGACTATAAAAGGTTTTTATCCATTTAATTGATTTTTAAATAGGGATGTCAATGAGTACCTGAGTATCGCTCGGTAGTATTGTATATCGAATACCAAAAAGGATACTTGACTAATTGGTGATGATGATGGGAGTTTTTAACGACCTTGACTGGCTATACAGCCTTCGCACGGTCGGCCCTGGCTTGCGCCGTTTGGGGTTTTGAAATAATTTTATTTTTTACCATAAGGTAATTGATATATATTTTTAATGACAAATATAAAAAAACATATTGTCAAAAAAAAAAAAAAAAAGTAAAAATAAGCAAAATTTTGAAGAATAAAATAACTAATTAAAACTGGGTTAGCGCAAACCAGACCTTGCGAAGAACCATTTTTCAAGTCTTTGATTTGACTTGCGGCTTTAATAAATGATTGGGAAAATAAAAATTAAAAAAAAAGTCCAAAAGGTTAAACACAAAAATGATTTAAATATTTTTGGAAGCCGCTCATTTGGAAAAAGAAAAATCCAATAATTGGTTTCTGTTCTGTTGCCTTTCTAAAGAAAACATATTTTTATTATGAGCGCATCTTGGGGAATTAAATATTAATCAAAGTTTATCAAAATTAAAATCCGTTTCGAATGTTTGCGTTTATTGTCATTTGAAATTCCCTCAAACAGAGGTAGGCTATGAACAAGAGCACCTTTCCATCCCTTACACTTTTAGCTAATCGTATCTTAGTCATTCCACCACCCCTGTTCCGTCAGAGCAAATAATTTCATCAGCATGACTGTTAGTTACATAACAAAGTGGAGCAAGTCGAGAAATCGACTTGTCCCAGAAAAAAGTTGAAAAGATGATATTTCTAAAAAAAATTTCGTAAGGGTTCCGCGGAACCCAGTGTCTCACCTACTTTTGCTGTTAGTCGCAGGCTCATCAAAAATAGGGAAAATTATTGAAAAATTTCCATTAGATACTATCTTTTGATTGTAAGAAGCTTCTGTCCAAGTTTGGTAAAAATCGAGGAGGGTTTATGAATCTAATAAATGTTTTAAAAACTTTTACTGCAGACTGTATGTAATGATAACAGGAAAAAAAACTAAGTCCATTTATAAGTAATATACGGAAAAACAGGAAATAAATTTTTACAAAATTTTCTTTCTAAATACTATCTTATGATCATAAACAAGCTTCTGTCCATGTTTGGTAGAAATCCAGGATATTTTAAGAAAGTTATTAAAATTTTAAAAACTTTAACCACAGAGTGAATGTAATGTTAACTGGCAGATAAACTATGTCCATTTATAAGTAAAATACAGAAAAACAGGATTTTGTTTTACAAAATGTACTACTGGATACTATCTTATGATCATAAATAAGCTTCTGTCCAAGTTTGGTAGAAATCCAGGATAGTTTAAGAAAGTTATTAAAATTTCAAAAACTTTAACCACAGAGTGAACATTTGTGGACGCCGCCGACGACGACAACGACGATGGAATGTAGGATCGCTATGTTTCGCTTTTGCGACAAAAGTCGCAGGCTTGACAAAAAGAACTAATTCGTTGCACCCTGTGTCGACCCTCAGAGAATGGTTTAAGGCATGAGTAAGTTCTTATCATCACCCCTTTGTTCATCTTTAAATGTGTTTTTTTATGATTTATATAAACTGTTGTTTAAGTTAACATTTTTCTATAGATGTTTCTTCATTAATTGATAAGATTATTGCCAGTTTACATAATTAGTGCATGTAGTGAAAGAGCTATTAATTATGGTATAAAATTCCTGGAACTATTATATAGTCCTAGGTAATAATGTTTAAAAGACAACGACCCACAATACGTAAAATGGGTATGATTTTGTAGATGTTTTTCCGAGCGAGTACTCAAGTATTGCTCGGTTAATTTAACAAGTACTCGATTAGTTAAACTTCAGCAAGTTGACATCCCTAATTTAAATGATTTCCATTGATGCAAAAATGGAAAATGTTCATATTTTGCTAAAGGAAAACTCATAGTCATCATGATCAATGTAATACGAAGTACACACGGAAGATTTTCTTGATGTTCTAAAAACAGACAACCAGTCACTGGTTTATGATGATTTACAGATTAGAAGCAAGTAACATAGTAATCACTATTATCTATCTCAGCTTACAGAAAAATTAAATCATGGGGTAATACACGACTCTCCTTTATGAATGAGTTACACAAGTTGACGTCATGGAACAAACTGTGACGTTAAAAAAAAGCATTGGGACATCAGATATTTACAGGGAAAGTGCAAAAATTCAAAAGATATCTATATGATGTTACAACAATGCAATAATATCTAACCTGTACAGCATTTTCTCTCTGTCTGTATCTCCATATATCCTCCTCTAGGCGACCCAGAGTCTTGCGTAGCTCTATTTTGTCCTCAGTTAGTGTGGAGACAAAGTTTGTAAGCTCATTATTATGATGTAATATACGGCCATTTACAGCATTCAGATCTGGTCTGGACATAAGGTTTCTGTCAGCCTGAATATAACATAAAATACAATTACTTTTCACATTTTTATTGAAATTTCTGAGCCTTTATTCATCATTATTTCTTTTATTCTGTTATCTGGACATATATCATTTAATGAATAAAACAGTTAAGGGGTATACACAAATGAGACAGCAACCCAAATGCATAACAAAACCTACAAAACATATCTTCAGGTCAATAAAGAAATCAACAGCAAGACAAATTCTCATCCAATATGTAAAGCTATTTATCTCACCTATACATTTCTAGGAATATGATTGGTTGAAAGCCACCGTGTGGAGACCGTGTATATTCCATATTAAGTTAGTAGGGTTCCATATTAGGTTAGTAGGCGGGGCTTATTTCAATACACGGTTAGTAGTGGTGTTATGTCCCTTTATAAAAAACAACACGGTGTTGAGGAAAAATCTTAAAGGTTTCAACAGACGAAGAAATTGATGATGAACAATTGAAATAAATTCATTAAACACATTTAAGGATTACAAGTTGTTATTGTTGGCATTTGTTCTTGTATAGACCAATGAAGTAGGTTTTTAATACTAACGGTATTGAAGACTGGCCTGAGTGATAGGCAACTAGTCTAAATACCACATGTAAAGATAGTCGGCAAGATAAATTCGTTACATAGTGTGCTAGTGACCTAATACGATATATATGGGGTCAGTAAATTCCATATATATTGTTTTAGGTCACTAGCACACTATGTAACTATTAGTATCACTCCAAGTCAAGACAGTTATGAGTACATTTAACAAACTGATAAAGTATACATGAACATATGATATAAATGGTCTAGAGCATACTCTCATTCTACCATTCTTAAATTTGTTGGAAGTCAGTCAAAGAAAATTTAAGAAAGAGCCCAACATTTTAAAAAAACACATTCTTTTCACTGTCAGGAAGTCTCATTACTCTGCAAAAAGATCTCACTCATTTATTTCCTTTAATTTACTAGTGTTTGAAGCATTTCTATAACCAGAGGGAAAATGCTATACCAAAATATGACCTGTTTTCAATTGACATATTGACATTTTCGATTTTTCGATTAAATATGTGTTAATCGCATGTCTGAGTTACATACCCCAGATTCAGATGTGAGTGGTATCTGTACATGTCGTAGCTCATTCAGTAAATCTTTGACTGAGTTCTGTATAGCACTAGCCTCCTCATTATCATCTGACCTACAAAATAATAAATATTTTTATTTTATACTTCCTAAACCTTGTTTGTTATATAACTATTTAAAATAAACCAACACATTGTTAAACTTAACCTTGAATAATCTGCATTTTTCTGTGTCTATTTTCTAAATTGCACAAAGTTATAAGTCACCAATGTGCAAACACAACATCCTTGAATTCTTGAAGAATTAAGACGTAATAAAATAAAGATTTTTAGTTACATTTTTACCACAAGCCATAATGTGTGCTAACACTATGGAATAAAATATTTTTCAATCTTATGAAACGTAAATAAGATACAAATTAATTATTTTGGTGCCAAAAATTAGTCTTATAGCACAAACACTTGCTTTACAAGTTGTCCTATCTTATCTTGAAACTGTAACATTTGGTATTGTAGACTCTGACAGAGACTCTCAAGCTGTGCCTTGTAGACTTTCCAATTCTCTCTCTGCTCTGTAGATTCTACATCACTCTCAGGAGATCCTTCTGTTCTCAGAGACATGTCCTATAGATAGAGATATAGGAACTCAATCTTAATAAGAATAGATGATAATATGGTTTAAAAGATATTACTTCCAAAGTAAGGGCAATCAATTTATAAGATGTCTTTCAAGTTACTTTAAGAACTGGAAACATGAGCAGGTGCACTTCATACATCGTTTAACTAGTTCTTTTAATTTCACGAAAAGGAATTTACCTGAAAGCCCTGTAGAGGCAGTAATTAGTCATATAGATGTGCCTTTAAAGCAGGATTGATTGTATTCATTGCAAGTTGGTAATATACCTCTAGTCCTAATACTCTAGTAAATTAAGTTGATTCTTTTGTTGGTGACACAGATAAGATACCAGCAGTTTTACCAGACTTAGTTATATGTAAAGACAATAGCTTTCCAATTTTATTATTCAAAGCTAATTCTTCTTTTAGTATAGATGATTATAGGACTAGAGATCAAAATTAAACTAAAAGGAAAACAATGTGGTCTGATATCATTTCCAAAAAAAAAACTATTGTGGAATGTTTATCTAAAAATTTATAAAATCTAAAAGAGTATTTTCCCTGAACAAATTATATTATATTTCATTTCTTCTGACTGTATATGATAAATTTCTGGTAAACATACCCTTTCAAAAGACTGATTATGTAATATGCGTAGTTTTTCCTGTTCGTAATCCCTCCTGATATCCATCTCTTTTTCTTTGCTGATGGTCACTTGTTCTTCTAAGTTTAGAATTTTCTGCTTCAATCTCTGCATTTCGAGATCAGCTTCATGCTGAAATGTAAAGATAAAGTATAATTCATAATTAAGAAAGTCCTATCCCACAAGGATTGCAATGATAACTAATTAATACATTAATTTTTTGGCAATTACACTAATTATTATAAAATGTCTATCTCTTAAATTTTCCAATAAAGGAGTAAAGTATGAAAGGTCCAATTAGGCCCAAAAAGATTAAGTCCATTTTTCAAGATGAAATCTGTTTCGTGTAAAAAAAAAATCAGAAAGTATAATAGAACAATTTTGTTTGGTTTTTCATTTAACATGTTCACCAAAAATAATCAACAAAAATTGAGATTTTTCATACCAGTTTCATTTTAAAATCATCTCTTTCTCTTTCTAACTGCCTTGCTGATCGTTTATCTGCTATTTTTTCAGTATCTCTCTCTCTTTCTCTTTCCTTCATTATCTTCATGTCACTACGTGTTTGGTCCCTCTCAACTTTGACCCTATTTAACTGGTCTCTTTCATGTTCATAGTGACGAGTGATGTCCAGTTTCTGAAGCTAAAAATAGAAATAATTTTTGAAAGTCAAGATATCAAAGCCAAATACATATGTATGAATATTAACTGTCATGATAAATAGGTTTAAACTTCCCAAGCTTAAGACACAAGAATAAGTTTCCTTTGCTTCCTCTGTTTGTAGCATGCTAGTACTTTCTTTACATATTCTAAGATACTGTATAGATACTGTTTTTATAGCCGGTTATCTTTGGTACATTTCTCTAAAACTCAGATTTTTTTCATAACAATCAATTCTAAAGAAGGAAAGATGGTAACTTAAAAGGAAAATGGATTAACTAAATTTTACCTGAGATTTTATTTGAATAGAAGAACTCCTTCCTAGTGAGATCTTTAAAATGATCTTCTTATGTCTAAAACATTTGTGAACTTCCTGTTTTAATAACTCTTGTATGAAAATTCTGCAAGATTCTAAGTAAAGACCTTTAAATAATTACCTGTGCCTGATCTAATTCATTTCTAAGCTGCCTACATGCTTGTCTTTCATTATCAAGTTCTTCTCTTAATGAAGAATTCTCCCCGTCTATAGATTTAAACAAATCATTATTTCTTTTCTTCTCTCTATCAAATGATCTTTGTAAGTCTAATACTTTGACTTTTTCTGTTTCCAATTCCATTTGCAACTCATCCAATATGCTCTTTGCTCTGTCTGAGCTTTCCTGGAAAGAATCTCGCTCATTCTCAAGATTGTGTTTCAATTTATGATACATGTACTTCTCTCTTTCCAGTTTTCTGTAATTGAACAAATATTTCTACAATATTATAGTTATCAGTAAAAACAATTTTTTCATAATAATAAAATAATCAGTAAAAACAATATTTTCACAATGATAAAATTATCAGTACAAACAATATTTCTACAATATCATAATCATCAGTAAAAACAAAATGAACTTTCTGGATGATAGTAACAAATGGCTAACTGGAATGAAAAAAATGTAAATAATTTACTTGTACATATACACAGTGGTAGCTAAGTTTTTTACCATGAATTTTATTGTAGGTTTTCTTTCTGTATATGCAACATACTTTCCAGGAGTGGAAAACTCATGCCAAGTTTCATCACTAAACTTCAAAGGGCTTAATTATGCTATTTATATAACTCTTCACTTTTTGTATCAATTCTAATAATTATTTTTTAAAATCTACAAATACTTCCTGTTTAGATCAAGTGATTTCGATTTTCTATGTGTATAGTAAGAGACACTTTACCTCTCTAGATCAACACATCTAGCTTTCTCCGTGTCTATAATAGTAGCAAGTTGCTGTAATTTGTTCTCGTAGTCTGTGACCATGTTATGGAGGTTTTTCTGTTCCTTATCTAGTTCCTGTTTCAGTGTACTGATTGTTGTCTGATCTAACTCGTATGTATTCTCAGCAAGAATACGTCGATGTCTTTCCATCATTACTTCTTTCTTCAAGGTCTAAAATTTTAAAAGCAAGAAATAAGCTGTCACAGCATATGTTTTCTGTATTTTGACGATAACCATCATTGAACCTAAGAGGGCAGCTAGGACAAATGCAATTGATGTAGTCTAACGTGTGGCGATTTCAGGCTTGTTTGACCTGCAGTGTTCTGTGCCAATTTTTAATCTATCAAGGATCATATGTCATGAACGGTCAATGTGAAAATATTCAACATCAAACTTGACCTCCATTTTGTCAACACTAAAAAAGTAAAAAAAATTAAAAATCATTGCGCAACTGATTCATAAGTTGTGCACAGAAATTGATGGCAGCTGCTTCATGGATCAACAATCCACCAATTAAGAATACAAAGCACAAAATAAAATATAGAGTGAAAATAACTATTTTTTTAATATTACTTTTGAGTTAACTCTATAATCCTCCAATTGTACTTGTAGATTATTGAACTTGAACCTCTCTGCATCTAATAATTCACTCAAATAATGACTCTTTCCTTTCTCCTCATCTAAAGCACTACTGTAAAATATAAAAATAACTGTTAAGATATTAAATAATAACTTTTAATTAGCAAAACACTTACACAAGTTTTACTTTAATATGTCTTCAATAAGTATGACTTCTTCAGTTATATCGATTGAAATAAAAAATAATTATGCACTTTTTTTAATTTCTTGGTTTTGTGGTTTTTTTTAAATTCAGCATTCAAACTTTTTGGAAATGAACATTTCTTAGAACACTTATATTCGTGGATCAATCTTACTCCCTTATAATGATGACAACACATTACTGCTTTATAAAAATCTGATTCGTCAATCAAGTACATCTTCATATTTTTGTTTTGTTAATCATATATTTCATTGCCAGGGTCACTTTACTTAATAAATTGTTCTCAAACATAAAATAAAATAAGTTGTCTTTAAAAGTAGATGTCTATGATGCTTTGTTGTTTTTTTAGCATTATATTTCATCGACAAAAGTGCAATAAAAAACAAACCAGATGATAACAATATAACACACAAAAAGAAATATATAGTTTACTACATGTGTGTATATATACAAATTTTATATAAATATAGTATAGTTAAAATGGCTAGTGCATTTAAAGCTTAGGATAGTTATTTATAATTCTGAGTTTACATTAGCTATATTCTTGTAAAAAGGTACTGCAAGAATCATTTGATAAAATCCATCAAAGAGTTTGTAAAACCAAAAAGAAAATTTTGCACGCACTGAAAATTCATTAATTGAACATGGTTTTATTTTAATGCTGAGAAAAGGAGAAATATTCCATTGATTAGTCAATAAAGCCAATATAAGAAATAAGTTTCAAGAAAAAAAATGTTAATAGATTAAATGTCACATATATATTTAGTTTTTTTAAATCCAAAATGTCTTCATAATAAAATTGAGAATGGAAATGGGGAATGTGTCAAAGAGACAACAACCCGACCATAGAGCAGACAACAACCGAAGGCCACCAATGAGTCTTCAATGCAGCGAGAAACTCCCGCATCCGGAGGCGTCCTTAAGCTGGCCTCTAAACAAATATGTATACTAGTTCAGTGATAATGGACGTCATACTAAACTCCAAATTATACACAAGAAACTAAAATTAAAAATGATACAAGACTAACAAAGGCCAGAGGCTCCTGACTTGGGACAGGCGCAAAAATGCGGCGGGGTTAAACATGTTTTTTGAGATCTCAACCCTCCCCCTATACCTCTAGCCAATGTAGAAAAAACAAACGTACAACAGTACGCACAGTAAAACTCAGTTTTAGAGAAGTCCAGGTCCGATGTCAGAATAGGAAACAAAAGAAAATAAACAAAATGACAATAATACATAAATGAACAAAGGACTACTAGCAGTTACTGACATGCCAGCTCCAGACCTCAATTAAACTGATTGAAAGATTATGTCTTCATCATATGAAAATCAAGTAAGTATTGTGACAAGTAACCCCCAGGGCATATATTTTTTTTACATTTTTATTATGCTGTAAATATGTTATTTCCTTGTTATAGATCAAATATTGTTTAAAATTGTTGATAATTTTATTTATTCTATATGAGTGCTAAGTTCCTATGACTATAGGACTATATTGTTGTTTATTGGTCAATGAAGATATATTTTCTTGAATTATTCTAAGTCAGGAATGTTTTCATTTTTGCAGAAATTGTAAACATCAAGATTTTGGTTAAAATGACTTTTCCATATTTGAATGTTTATCTAGTCATTGCAAATGCTTGAGTAATTGTGTTTATTTATTAACTTGTACCGACAAATGAGTAGAAAATGAGGAATATTGTGGTTTTTAGATTTTTGAGACTTGTTGTTATTTTGAGAAAGTTCCCGTACTTTTTCATCTGTAACTTTTTCGGGGTCGACCTCAGTTTAGACATACTTTCTGTCAGTTTTGGACAATGACAGCCAAACTTACTTATATACACTCTTTTCTGAAGTCGAATTGAGTTCTAGAATTTACTTTTCCCCACTAAAGGTTTTGCATATTGCTTAAACTTGTCGATCTTCGTTTCTGTTACAGACAGCATGTATCGCTATCCGCCATTACTTCAGATGAAAGGCTAGCGATTTCATTGGTTGATTAAAAGAATAAAGTATTTTACCTTAATTTTTGTAGAAATTGTTACAGAAATGTTTTATTTTACGATAAATGTTAGAAAATGTAAAAGTCAATATTTTAATAATTTTGTATTCTCTGTCACTTCAACTTGATAAAGAATGGAGCTATTTGATTGGCTATTGGTTACTAGTGCACAGTGCAATATGGGGCACTTCAAGGGTATCGTGCATGCCCCTGTGCGGTGCTCATGCACTGTCGTGCAGCGCGGCTAGTATAAAACCTTTCCAAAACGCTGCATTGACGTCACTTTCACGCCATTTCTTTCAGTTAACTAAATTTTCTTATTGGAAAACGTAATTTTACAGAGATTTTAATGCAAATTTTAAGAAGTTGATTTTCTTTTCAATAGTAATTTTAAAAGGCTAGTTTACGAATTTATGGTTCGAAATTTCATTGTTTTGGAATTGGAAAGTTTTGATTAAGTACATTTTTACCGGAAAGAGTCCAAAGTCAATCAAATCATTTCTGCATTTAAGTTATATACTATATTATAGGTTTTTAAAGGTATATCTGAGAGTTCTTTGTTATACTTTTATTGTTCTCTATTTTATAAGACATACGCTACTAGTAAAGTCTCTAGTACACTTGTCTTGCTTTACATAATTTAAATAAATAATAAATAAGGCAAAAGGGACACAAGACATACGCTACTAGTAAAGTCTCTAGTACACCTGTTTTGTGATAAATTATTGGATAAATAAGTCAAGTAGGATATAGGACACAAGACATATGCTACTAATAAAGTCTTTAGTACAATTGTTTTTGTTTAAATAACTAAATAAATAAGGATATAAGGATAAAGGGCATATGCTGCTAGTAAAGTCTCTAGTATATTTGTCTTGATTTAAGTAATTGAGATAAGGATAAGGGTTTCAGGACTACACTGCTAGTAAAGTCTCTAGCAATTGTCTTGAAGTAAATAAGAAAACCAAATTACTGATAAACACTGTATTGAGTAAACTTTGAGATAAATTAAATGGCAGACACTGCTGGTAAAGTCTCTAGCACAATTGTCATTATACCTTAAATTTGAATAAACTGAGATTAACGTATTATCTCTGTATAAAACTATTTGTACACTCATTTACAAGTAAATCTTAGAAACCTTTAGATCTTAGGCATACGCTCTAGCACAGAATCAGCTAGCACACTTGCCTATCTAAATTTTGTACACTTGATAACGCTCTAGCACAGGGTCAGCTAGCACACTTTCTTGTGTATTAAACAGATAAATATTTAAAACAAGTAAAACATAAATAAAACCTTTAGATCTTAGGCATACGCTCTAGCAAAGGGTCAGCTAGTACACTTGCCTATCTAAATGTTGTACACTTGATAACGCTCTAGCACTGGGTCAGCTAGCACACTTTCTTGTGTACTAAAGTTATAACATTTACAATAGAGAATTTAATTCATTAAAAACCTTTAGATCTTAGGCATACGCTCTAGCACAGGGTCAGCTAGCACACTTGCCTATTTAAATTTCGTTCACTTGATAACGCTCTAGCACAGTCAGCTAGCACACTTTCTTGTGTATTAAACTGTTAAATATTCTTATTGTTTATCTAACGTTACGCAATTTAAACTCAGAAGTTAAGTACTCAGTTAAACAGTTAAGTGTTATACATATACCTCAGATATACCTTGTTTAATATTAGACATACGCTACTAGTAAAGTCTCTAGTACACTTGTCTATTTGTTATATGTAATATTTGCTACTGGTCTCATTGTTATATACCAGTGTCAGTGTATCTGAAGAAAACCCTAGTCAAATAATAAAAGAACACTATCTTTATTCATATTTTTATTGGTAAACAGTAGTTCTAAATAGTCAATTATATATATTGAAAGTGACCATAACACCATGCCAATAATAAAGGATTGAACTTGAATTCGTATTTCCCTTTTCTTATATGCTTTAGATTTTAACAAATCTAGCGAGACATAGAGATTACTTTTCCGGCCAATATTTCTGGTATATTGTGTCACTTCAGTTGGTTCTGATTTGAGATTTAGTCTTAGGTCAAGGTATTGAGTACGTTTATTGTTTGGGAGTTTGCTGACTACCTTATCTACCATATAGCTCTTGCGCGCTACAGTATCACCACATTTAGTAAGATATAGGGGAGATTGTCAATTTTAAGAATAATCAGGACAAATCAGTGGTCAAAGATATACCAAGACAATTGTATCTGATTCATATCCAGACTATTCCAAAATTTATCAGGAGGGGGGATGGGAGGCACTCAAAATAATATTATCATTAAGGGTGCAGTCTTATAAAGAAGAAAGATACAGCAGTGTTATATATTTTACAGTTACACAAGTCAGTATTAATTATTAATAAAACAACACAGTTTCTATGCAGTGTTAATTTACTACAGTGACTATTGTTATTTTCACATCCCAGCATTTTCAAATTTTACTCCATGTAACTTTGCAGTTTTTATTCATATCCATTGAAGATTAAATATCATTCATTTGAGAACCAAGCTGATAGATGTGAAAATTGACAAATGAATAGGTATATTTACCCAAAGGAACTTACTTTAAATAAATCAAATTTAAACGGTAACAACTGTCCTTTCCTATATTTACATATTTCGGTTTTACACGGGAAACTCCACTCTAAAATTTACGACAAAAGGGACGATTTTGTCGTTCCCTATTGTTAATTTTCCCCTCTTGGATGGTGATGTTCCTTTGGCACCATCTTACGGTGTTTATATTTCACAACTCGTTCGCTATGCCCGTGTCTGTTGTGACGTTTTTGATTTAAACGAACGTAATCTATGTTTTACTGGTAAATTATTAAGCCAGGGATTTCGTTACCACAAATTACTTAAAACCTTTACTAAATTCTTCCACAGATATAAAGATTTGGTTTTGAGTTTGGTTGTACCTGTAGAAAACTTATTTCAAACGGGATTGCACATTCTCATTTTTACGGCAATATTGTTTACCGTGCCCGGAAATTTAGAAACGATCCTGGTAAACTTATCGATCCTTTAAATAAACTTATTCTAAAAGGTTACCAATTCAACACTGTAATTAGATCATTAAATATTGTTTTTATTGGTACTTATATTGATTTTGTTATCAGTAAATTAAAAGCAAACTAAAAATTATTGTTATATACATTATACACATTCATGGATCTACAATCTGTCGATACCTGTACCTTGGCATTGCACAAGGTCATGTTTTTTTCTGACTGTTTATGACGTTTACACTAAATCCATTGGATGTTGGATGTGTACGGATTGATAATCTAGTCTTAGATGCATGATTTTGTTTATTAGTTGTTAGTGGCTTTGAACTAGCTGTCAGTAACTGCGAGTACTCTCAGATCTGTATTTTGTATTTTTATCCATCTGATGCGTTAAGTCTCTTTCAACTGATTTTTATAGTTCGTTCTTATGTTGTACTGTTACACCACTGTCCCAGGTTAGGGGGAGGGTTGGGATCCCGCTAACATGTTTAACCCCGCCACATTCTGTATGTATGTGTCTGTCCTAAGTCAGGAGCCTGTAATTCAGTGGTTGTCAATTGTTTATGTGTTACATATTTGTTATTCGTTCATTTTTTGTACATAAATTAGGCCGTAAGTATTCTCGTTTGAAGTGTTTTATATGGTCATTTGGAGCCTTTTATAGCTGACTGTGCGGTATGGGCTTTGCTCATTGTTGAAGGCCGTACGGTGACCTATAGTTGTTAATTTCTGTGTCATTTGGTAACTTGTGGAGAGTTGTCTCATTGACAATCATACCACATCTTCTTTTTTATACCACATAAAGATACTAGACTTACACAAAGCATACACACAGTAACTTACACCAAAGAATCCCACATTTCCCTATAGAAAGTAAAATTACCATTGATACAATTATCATATACAAATGTTTATCTCAGTGCTTGGAAAAGAATGAAAAAAAATGAGTCATATAAATTTTATAATAAAAAAACATTCTACCTAACAATCTTTTAAATACATGCATCACCTTTCCTTTGCTAGGAAATGTAATCCTTTATATATTCCAAAACAATAAAACCAAAGCTCACAAACTAAAACCACTAAATGCATCAAACTGCAACAAATCTTTTCTTAAAACAGTTTGTACTTATTTCTTCTGAATACCAAAAAAAAAAAAGATGTAAAGAAATAGAATTTGCATTTACTTGAATATGAACTTTTAACTTGTATCATTTTGAATTTTTTCTTTAAAATGATGAAAGTACAAAAATACAAGTTTGATATGAACAATTTACATGATTTAAAGTATAAAAAGAAGTCTAAGACAAATAGTTCACCTAAAATTTGACAAAAAGTGCAGACATTGCAGTTTGATGTGAAGAAGTAACATTTAGATATTCAAATAATAAAAGCACACTGTGTAACATCTCAGTGTACTTACGATACGGAAACAAATCTACTTTGTTCTCTCTCAAGTGCGTCTTTCAGTTTGGAGATCTGATACTGTAGATTGGAAGTTTCTTTCTGAAGATCAAGATTATGATTCTTCTCTCTGGACAACAGGGTAGATAACTCACTTTTTCTTTCACATTCCATATCGTAACGAGATCTGACATCATCTTTGAGTATTTTTTCTTGCTGTAACTTAAATTCTAACATTTGTGCTGAAATTTAAAAAAATGAAGAATGTGTAACCATGATTAAAAAAAATTCTACTATTTTGCTTGTTATGAGTCAACTTCAAACTCAGATTTGACTTGAAAAAAAAATTCAAATTATAAATGATAAATCGATTTGTCTTTTTATTTATGTATAGCTGTCTTGGATGTTTTGTACCCACATAGGTTTAGAAAATTTAAATATATCAATTTATCAAAAAAAAAACTTAAATGTTACAAACTGCAGTGTTAAAAATGTGCTTAAAGTCAAATAAAACTTCAAATTAAAAACAAAAATGACGCATATGTATTTTATAACTAAATGGCTAGTTTTCATTATTAAACTTATGTACATATACTTTTTTTCTGAAGAAAATTCTTTAATTTGTCCAAATTTTGAAGAAATTTACTTTTTTCTGAATTGTTCGCTTCCAGCCAACAATTCGCCGACATGTTTTCCGTATGCAGTTACCTCAGCGTGACCTTTCTCGTAAAAATCCCCTGATCTCAATTACGCAAGTGCGAAAGGGAACACCAAATTGGCAGAGAGAGTCAACAAACGTAAACATCGCTCCGTCATCGAAAAAATATATATCTTATTGTACATGTTATACACGTGCTTACTTGAATATCCATGCTTCTTTGTTGATTGTTTACAAAGGTGACAATCGGTAAACTTCGGCTTAAAAACAGGACCATCAATTAGCCACCATATTTTCAAAAAAAAACTGATCGAGTGAAATATTGTTTTGACGATTATTCGAAATGGATGCGTAAAAATGATAAAATCGAGCACAGAAGACTAAGTTTATGATATATGCATGCATTGGTTTAAGAATTGGATTAACTTTATTTTTTAACAGTCACTCGTTTCATATGACTTTAAACAAAAACTAGAGGCTCCAAGTAGCCTGTGTGGCTCACCTGATATTTTTGTTCACAATTGATGCATGAAATAATGCAACCATTATACTTTTGCTTTAGTTTCAGAGATATAAGCCAAAAACTGCGTTTCACCCCTATGTTCTATTTTTAGCCATGTTGGTTGGCAGGCGGGGTCATCGGACACATTTTTAAAACTAGATACCCTTATGATGATTGTGGCCAAGTTTGGTTAAATTTGTCTCAGTAGTTTCAGAGGAGTAGATTTTTGTAAAAGATTACAAAAATTTACGAAAAATTGTAAAAAATTAAATTTCAAGGGCAATAACTCCTTAAGGGGTCATTTGACAATTGTGGTCATGTCGATTTATTTGTAGATCTTACTTTGCTAAACATTATTGCTGTTTATATTTTATCTCTATCTATAATAATATTCAAGATAACCAAAAACTGCAAAATTTGCCTAAAATTACCAATTCAGGGGCAGCAAACCATCAAAAGGTTGTCTGATTCGTCTGAAAATTTCAGGGCAGATAGATCTTAACTTGATGAACAATTGTACATATCAGATTTGCTTTAAATGCTTTAGTTTCAAAGATATAGGCCAAAAACTGTATTTTACCCCTATGTTCTATTTTTAGCCATGTCAGCCATGTTGGTTGGCAAGCGGAGTCATCGGACACATTTTTTTAAACTAGATACCCTAATGATGATTGTAGCCAAGTTTGGTTGAATTTGTCTATGTAGTTTCAGAGGAGAAGATTTTTGTGAAAGATTACAAAAATTTATGAAAAATTGTTAAAAATTGACTATAAAGGGCAATAACTCCTTTAGGGGTCAATTGACAATTTTGGTCATTTGACTAATTTGTAGATCTTACTTTGCTAAACATTATTGCTGTTTACAGTTTATCTCTATCTAGAATAATATTCAAGATAATAACCAAAAACTGCAAAATTTCCTTAAAACTACTATTTATGGGGCAGCAACCCAACAACGGGTCGTCTGATTCGTCTGAAAATGACAGGACAGATAGATCTAAACCTGGTGAACATTTTTACCTCGTAACAGATTTTCTATAAATGATTTAGTTTCAGAGATATAAGCCAAAAACTGCATTTTATCCCTATGTTCTATTTTTAGCCATGGCGGCCATGTTGGTTGGCAAGCGGGGTCGAAGGCACATTTTTTTAAATTAGATACCCCAATGATGATTGTGGCCAAGTTTGGTTAAATTTGGTCCAGTAGTTTCAGAGGAGAAGATTTTTGTAAAAGTTAACGGACGACGACGGACGACAATTGATGAAAAAAGCTCACTTGGCCCATTGGGCAAGGTGAGCTAAAAAGAGACAAGAATACCAAAAGGATTATTCATAACCGAATAAACTGTTTTGGTCACTAGTGGAGAGTTGTCTCATTAGCAATCATACCAAAGTTTCTCATTTTTATATTGACAATGCAATTGCAAAAAACGGTAGACTAAGAAATGACAAACAATTCCATGAAACACTACATAGAAAACTAAAGATTAAGCAACATGGACCCCACCAAAACTGGTTCATGTAATATGAATGTTATAGTATTACTAGATTTAGATTTTAAACTTATTTTACTCATTAAGATATGAAAAGGACTGAGCAACAGACATAGCCTATAAAAGATCTCTCCATGTACAAGGTATAAATCAAATATTAACAACTCTATTTAAAATAATATAATATACTGGAAAATGCATGCTACTTATGAGCACACATAAACAAATACATATTTACAGTGTCAATCATATTTAAGTATGTAGTCAATTAATCATCATTTTAGTACCTTCAGACATGTCCTTTATAAGTCATTAGAAATATATATCGTAGTACTGTTAAAAGATCTTCAAATAATTGTTAAATATGAAAACCAATATTGCTCAGGAACAAAGTTTGATTCAGATGAGTGACCTAATTACCAAAATTCCTTACTCTTTTTGTTTCAAAACCTAACCTTTCCAGTGACAGTATGCTTTTACAATTAACAATGAGTTGATAACTGGAAAAAAATGACTGGTGTACATGAATTTTGTTATAGTAACGCCTTACCTTCGTATGAATGAAGTACATGATACACATCTTCTTTGTTAAATATAAATAGCATCTTCAACTTTTGTATTCTACACTTAAATTAAGATTTAAAGTCGTATGAAATATAACTCTTCAAGCTATTAAGGAAGAAATGAATTACCTTGTATTTTAGCTTGTCTTTCTTTCCTTGTGGTTTGTTCTTCTAAACCACTGAGCTGCTCTGACATTTTCTCTCGTTCTTCCTGATGTTTCATCATAGAGATGTTGGTATGAGCTCTTAGATCTCTGATTTCCGCTAACATTGACTGACGATCGGCGTTGAAAATCTGGCCTAGTGAGGACTTCTGGTGTTTTTCCTGTTCAAATTAGTTATCTTTGTTTTACTTTAACAAAGCTGATTGTAAATATGTGTTTGGAAAGAAGAAGACAAGCATTATAAGATACTGGCTAAGACTCTATAAAACTTTTCCATTTTCTTTTTATCCTTTTGTCTGCATATTTTCTATCACTAATTATGCAATTTTTTTAATGTGGATCAAACCATACACTTGAATTTTTTTTCCTTCCAGGTAAGCTTACATCACTTAGGGGTAGCAGCAAAGACTTTTCTCACAGTAAAAAGCATGTGCAAGTATGATGAAGTGTCTTCCTATAGACTGTTTTCTTACTAACTAGGCATTACAAATTGATTCGACGTGTTGGTCTTATTCTTTAATATTATATTGACACGTTCTTGTCCTAATATAGATGTACTATTTGCCACTGGATATTAAACACGTACCCATCAACTTTAACATATACTTATCTTAATTACCTGGTTTCTGATTTTCTGTTCCAAATTCTGTATCTCAGAAAGATCTGCGGTTGGGTGAGACAACACATGTGACCTTAATTCAGCCAATAAGGTGTCCCATTCTTTGGCAAATACATAACTTATGGCTTGTAGAAGTTCACCTCTCCAATCAGATACACCAGGACCCTAAAATCAAGATTCAACATCATAAACATTTATTTGAAGGTAAAAAAAAAATCCACTTTACCAGGAAACAATAAAATTGAAGACCACAAATATTCTTTTTTAAATAACTAGCTAACTGATAGTGAGCTATTATATGTTGTTACTATTTTTTTCTGAAAAAGTTCTCCTTATTCTAATTGTAACTATATGATTAGACATGCAGTAAATATAGAATGAGTAATAAGTAATTTTCATAAATTTACCTTCTAAGCTTTTTTACATAATAGCAAAATATTTTAGGGTAGACTACATATCTTTATATAAATAAAATCTCGTTAAGCAGATTGAAAGCAATTTGACATATTCAACAAACATTATTACAACACAAATTCCAACAAGGAAATCTTAACAAAATTATCTGGTTTTAAAGCAACAGTGTACACCAGACATTTACATATTGATGCAGTACAAAACATTGGTGAAAGACATGTTTCAAGGTATGGTGACTCTAGTACAAAGATAATCTAATGACATAAAACACATTAAATGACTCACAAAGTAATGATAATCTCTATCAAAAGGATCTTGGTAATATCTATGCTATTTAAGGAAAAATAACAGAGTATAAATTATTTTTTTGCATAATAACTAAGTTCCAAAGTCCTGATAAATGTGAAACAAGAATGTGTCCAAAGTACACGGATGCCCCACTCACACTATCATTTTCTATGTTCAGTGGACCGTGAAATTAAGGGTCAAAACTCTAATTAGGCAATAAAATTAGTAAGATCATATCATAGGAATCATGTGTACTAGGTTTCAAGTTGATTAGACTTCAACTTCATCAATAAACAGCTGCGCCATGAGTGCAAGATACGCCCGAAACATTTTCAAAGAATAAAGTTAAATAACTTCTCAATTTCATCAGAAATTTATGAAAAACTAATGGGTGGTTATCTTATTAGGTATAATTCAGTCACCAAAGCACTTTAAAGATATCGTCCGAAAACTGGTTGATCACCCCCTTTTTGTGATTAAAATTCCACAACTCGAAAAGGAAAAATCTAAAATGTATAAAAATCGAAAGGGAGCTAACAACAATAGATAAAAACAATTGGCCAAAGTTTCACGAAAACTTCTGAAAGCATTTTTAAGTTATTGTCTGAAAACGGGAAAATCCCCCTTTTTAATGAATAAAACCCCATAACTAGGAAATGAATAATATGAAATTTATAAAAGTCTAAAGGGAACTCATGTCAATAGATATAAACAATTCATTAAAGATTCTTGCAAATTGGGGAAAGTGTTTTTGAGTTGCTGTCCGAAACTAGAGGCTCCAAGAAGCCTGTGTCGCTCACCTGATATTTTTGTTTACAATTGATGCATGAAATAATGCAACCATTATACTGTTGCTTTAGTTTCAGAGATATAAGCCAAAAACTACATTTTACCCCTATGTTCTATTTTTAGCCATGTCGGCCATGTTGGTAGGCAGGCGGGGTCATCGGACACATTTTTGAAACTAAATACCCTAATGATGATTATGCCAAAGTTTCGTTAAATTTGTCTCAGTAGTTTCAGAGGAGAAGAATTTTCAAAAAGATTACAAAAATTTACCAAAAATTGTTAAAAATTGACTTTAAAGGGCAATAAATCCTTAAGGGGTCAATTGATTTATTTGTAGATCTTATTTTAGTGAACATTATTGCTGTTTACAGTTTACTTCTATCTAGAATAATATTCAATTTAATTTCCAAAAAACTGCAAAATTTCCTTAAAATTACTATTTATGGGGCAGCAACCCAACAACGGATTATCTGATTCGTCTGAAAATGACAGGGCAGATAGATCTTAACCTAATCAACATTTTTACTCCATGTCAGATTTACTCTAAATGCTTTTGTTTCAGAGATATAATGTTGACGACGACGGATGGACAGACAGGCGGACGGACAACGGTATACCATAATACGTCCCGTAAACGGGCGTATAAAAACTACCTTGACCAAAAACTTTAATCTGAAGCAGGATATAAGTGGGGCATTAAAATTCTTCAAACAATTCCATAATATTAGGTGTTAACTTCAACATAGGTGCAATTTTCCTGAGAAGTTTCAGGGATATGGATTGAAATCTGCAGGCAGAGTTGATTACAAAAAATTGAAAACAACACGTTTAATAATTTCATGCGTCCGAAGCGCTTTTCTGGATTTACCTTCATCAGGAACGCTCAAAGCCAAACATTTGAAATCCGAGGGATGTATAAGTACCGAAACAGTTGAAGAGCTATATGACAAAAATACATAAAACAAAGAGCCAAATTCATCTAAGGTCAACTTTGCCTGAGGGAGTTGAAACCTTAGTTTCTTTATAATTTCAAAATTTATAAACGGACAATTTTAGAAAGATTTGTTATAAATCATGTCAGTACCGAAGTACTGACTACTGAGCTGATGATACCCTCGGGTACTGACAGTCTACCAGCAGAGGTATCGACCCAGTGATGTAAAAAATTGAAAACAACACGTTAAATAATTTCATGCGTCCGAAGCGCTTTTCTGGATTTACCTTCACCAGGAGCGCTCAAAGCCAAACATTTGAAATCCGAGGGATGTATAAGTACCGAAACAGTTGAAGAGCTATATGACAAAAATACATAAAACAAAGAGCCAAATTCATCTAAGGTCAACTATGCCTGAGGGAGTTGAAACCTTAGTTTCTTTATAATTTCAAAATTTATAAACGGACAATTTTAGAAAGATTTGTTATAAATCATGTCAGTCCCGAAGTACTGACTACTGAGCTGATGATACCCTCGGGGACTGATAGTCCACCAGCAGAGGTATCGACCCAGTGATGTAAAAAATTAAAACAACACGTTTAATAATTTCATGCGTCCGAAGCGCTTTTCTGGATTTACCTTCATCAGGAACGCTCAAAGCCAAACATTTGAAATCCGAGGGATGTATAAGTACCGAAACAGTTGAAGAGCTATATGACAAAAATACATAAAACAAAGAGTCAAATTCATCTAAGGTCAACTTTGCCTGAGGGAGTTGAAACCTTAGTTTCTTTATAACTTCAAAATTTATAAACGGACAATTTTAAAAAGATTGGTTATAAATCATGTCAGTACCGAAGTACTGACAACTGAGCTGATGATACCCTCGGGGACTGATAGTCCACCAGCAGAGGTATCGACCCAGTGATGTAAAAAATTAAAAACAACACGTTTAATAATTTCATGCGTCCGAAGCGCTTTTCTGGATTTACCTTCATCAGGAACGCTCAAAGCCAAACATTTGAAATCCGAGGGATGTATAAGTACCGAAACAGTTGAAGAGCTATATGACAAAAATACATAAAACAAAGAGCCAAATTCATCTAAGGTCAACTTTGCCTGAGGGAGTTGAAACCTTAGTTTCTTTATAATTTCAAAATTTATAAACGGACAATTTTAAAAAGATTGGTTATAAATCATGTCAGTACCGAAGTACTGACTACTGAGCTGATGATACCCTCGGGGACTGATAGTCCACCAGCAGAGGTATCGACCCAGTGATGTAAAAAATTAAAAACAACACGTTTAATAATTTCATGCGTCCGAAGCGCTTTTCTGGATTTACCTTCATCAGGAACGCTCAAAGCCAAACATTTGAAATCCGAGGGATGTATAAGTACCGAAACAGTTGAAGAGCTATATGACAAAAATACATAAAACAAAGAGCCAAATTCATCTAAGGTCAACTTTGCCTGAGGGAGTTGAAACCTTAGTTTCTTTATAATTTCAAAATTTATAAACGGACAATTTTAGAAAGATTTGTTATAAATCATGTCAGTACCGAAGTACTGACTCCTGAGCTGATGATACCCTCGGGGACTGATAGTCCACCAGCAGAGGTATCGACCCAGTGATGTAAAAAATTGAAAACAACACGTTTAATAATTTCATGCGTCCGAAGCGCTTTTCTGGATTTACCTTCATCAGGAACGCTCAAAGCCAAACATTTGAAATCCGAGAGATGTATAAGTACCGAAACAGTTGAAGAGCTATATGACAAAAATACATAAAACAAAGAGCCAAATTCATCTAAGGTCAACTTTGCCTGAGGGAGTTGAAACCTTAGTTTCTTTATAATTTAAAAATTTATAAACGGACAATTTTAGAAAGATTTGTTATAAATCATGTCAGTACCGAAGTACTGACTCCTGAGCTGATGATACCCTCGGGGACTGATAGTCCACCAGCAGAGGTATCGACCCAGTGATGTAAAAAATTAAAAACAACACGTTTAATAATTTCATGCGTCCGAAGCGCTTTTCTAGATTTACCTTCATCAGGAACGCTCAAAGCCAAACATTTGAAATCCGAGAGATTTATAAGTACCAAAACAGTTGAAGAGCTATATGACAAAATACATAAAACAAAGAGCCAAATTCATCTAAGGTCAACTATGCCTGAGGGAGTTGAAACCTTAGTTTCTTTATAATTTCAAAATTTATAAACGGACAATTTTAGAAAGATTTGTTATAAATCATGTCAGTACCGAAGTACTGACTACTGAGCTGATGATACCCTCGGGGACTGATAGTCCACCAGCAGAGGTATCGACCCAGTGATGTAAAAAATTGAAAAAACTTAGGTACCCTCTTGTTCTCGCCTGTCCTCACTCATCCCACTATAAGCTGGTTTTGGACTTTGAAGAAAAATTGTATATGAGATGGTATTTTATTTTGTGGTTTTGACAAATTCAAGAAATTTTGAATTTTGTTGAATATTAAAACCTTCACCACTGAAATCAATGAAATTAAGTACTCCATGACTAATAATGAATCCACAGCATGTGATACAAATATTGTGAGAATGCAATTAATTTTACCTTCTCAAGTCCTCGGCGTTTATGTGTTTGTGCCAAAAGATCTTTGAGTAATTGTATAGCCGACAGTAAGCTTTGTTTCTCGCTCTCCCATGATGTTTTCAATAATTCTACATCAACTTCTTTATCAATCCGAGTTGGTGACATGTGACAATTCAGGAACTGTAACTCTGACATACTTAACATCTGTACACCTTCTCTGTGGAGGCGATTCATTAACATCTGAAATGTGATAACATGTACTTTTTCATTAATTTCATCTTCTCATATTCTGACAATCTTTTATTAAGTACACAAGCTAGAACTTTAAGTAGGTCAGTAAAGGACAGGATGGTATATTACAAGCATGTTAAAGCACAACACATAAAACAATGTAAACAGTAAGAGGTAAACGAACTCCCATATCTATCTAATAATATGATATTATTACGTGAGTATTTCTGTATTGGCCTTGTTATTGGTCCGAGGCTTGCTGTAGGCAGCTGTCCGAGGACCAATAACAACGCCAATACAGAAATACTTACATAATGATATCTTTATTAATTAAATACAGTGTTACCATATTTTTTTTATTTCATTTCACAAGAGATAAACATTTTTTACCTAGAAGTGAAACTATCCAAATCTGAGTTCCCATTTATAAGCTGCAATATCAAATGATCTGGTGCTGTTTCCAGGTGTCTTCTACATTTTTTCATCTGATGAATTTTTTTACCCTTTCCAGTCACTATAAAGTGTTACAATTCATATTTAGACGCAACACATAAATAGAAATTGGAAAGGTACTGCCATTGCATGTGTAATGCAGAAACAAATTGATTATTTAAAAACAATTAATGTAGGAGTTGAATATGATTGAAAATGATACAACTATCCATAAGCCAACTGACCGAAGAACGAAGATTTGAATAATTACAGGTCAACCTTCCACAATGCATATGCCTGGTTCGGGTTGCAAAATAAATGACAGTTTACAAAACATGAGAAGCGAAAGTTAACAGTAAATCGATTTGTACCTGAGGTCGACAAGAAATGAACTTTGTGATAATCTACTCGTTGCCCAAACCTGAAAAAATTCAATTGTCTGATAACAAAATGCTTTTAAAATGAACGTGATCGTCTTTAGCCTGAAATATATGCAACACTGAACGTTTCGGAAAGTTTATGGTGAGTAAATGAAAATTTACCTGCGTATTCCAAACGACTGTTTACTCTAAGTTTGTGTTTATCATGACTTTCGATCTAAAAACTAGAGACGTTCCGAAATCCTGTATTGGCCGAAACAGAACTCGGTCAATACAGAAACTAGAGGCTCTCAAGAGCCTGTGTCGCTCACCTGTATCTACTGTGGTTTTGGAAATCATGTAAAAAAAGGTTTAAATATAATAAATAGTATTAGATACCCTAATAATGATTGAGGCCAAGTTTGTTTTATTTGGCCCAGTAGTTAAATTAAAAGCAGTTCATCCAACTAGTAACTAGACTTACAATAGTTCCTGAAGACCCCTTATCATTATTTATATTAGTTTTCAATTGTGACCATTTGAAATTGTTTTTTTTTTTACAATTTTCCCTTAGACTTGTATAGTAAATTCCTATGCTCCATTTTTAGCCATGTCGGACATGATGGCAGGGTCATCGGATATATTTTTCAATCAAGATACCCTATTGAAAATTGTGGCTAAGTTTAATTCTATTTGGCCCAGTAGATTAAGTGTAGAAGATTTTTGTAAAAGATTGCAAAAATTTACGAAAAAATTGTTAAAAATTGACTATAAAGGGTAATAACTCCTTAAGGGGTCAATTGAAAAATTTTGTCATGTTGACTTATTTGTAGATCGTACTTTGCTGAACATTATTGCTGTTTACAGTTTATTTCTATCTATAATAATATTTAAGATAATAACCAAAAACTGCAAGATTTCCTTAAAATTACCAATTCAGGGGCAGCAATCCAACAACTGGTTGTCTGATTCGTCTAAAAATTTCAGGGCAGATAGATCATAACCTGATGAACAGTTTTACTTGTGTCAGATTTGCTCTAAATGCTTTAGTTTCAGAGATATAAGCCAAAAACTGCATTTTACCCCATGTTCTATTTTTAGCCATGGCGGCCATGTTGGTTGGCAGGTCGGATCATGGCACACATTTTTTAAACTAGATACCCTAATGATGATTGTGGCCAAGTTTGGTTGAATTTGGCTTTGTAGTTTCAGAGGAGAACATTTTTTTTTAAAGTTAACGGACGTCGACGACGACGACGGACGAAGCACGACGATGGACGCCAAGTGATGAGAAAAGCTCACTTGGCCTTTCGGCCAGGTGAGCTTAAAAATCAATATTGGCCGAGTTATTCTGTATTGGCCGCATTGACACTTTTATATTGCATAGGCAGTTTTCATCATATTAAGTTCAATAATAGAGTAGTTAATTAATAATATTCAATATTGGATCTCTAAATATATCTCAGCTCTTGCTGTGTTAGTCAAATAATTATTCCAAAAAATCTGAAAGAAGTTGCAGATTAAAATTTTATGTTAAAGTTTAAGTGGTTAAGAGTTACAGATATATATATATAGGTACACTAAGGATTCTACTGAACATTTCAAATTGATTGATGGCACCTTTATGTCAGCCAACAAACTACGAGCGTATAATTGATTGATTGATTGTCGGTTGCTTAACGTCCAGTGGCAACATGCGTATAAAGCTGTTGAATAGTTTCTTTGAAATCCTTTTCATAATTATTGTGGAAAAGTGGAGGAGTGAATACAAAGTATGACTAATAAATTAAAGGACACACCAAACCCTATTATCTCCCACTTCAGTAACCAAGAGTAAGATAAAGCCAAAGCAAATAAAATTGGTTCTAATTAAATCACCTGTAACTTAGTTGACACATTTTCATCAGTTGTCATTTCAGTGCTGGATACACCAGTACTGACATCAGTGTTGTCTGTACCACTGGCGCCCTCTGGTTGTCTCTGTAATGATTGCAGCAAACGATTGTCAAGCTTTTCTGACAGGGACATTTCAGACTGCAGACGACGGCCAGCTTCCATTGTCATTGTGTCACTCAGCACTGAAATACAGATAACCACCACTTGAATATGAACATAAATAAATAAAAAAATGAGTTAACAGTTGCAAAAAAATGATTTAACTTTCCCTATTTCACTGCATATTTACTTGGATCCCTACACATACCAAATGGCAGCGCTTAAAATGGTGTTGAATTTTACAAGATGTGTCTTGTAACAAATTATCATTCCTTTACAACCTTAAGATTATGTACGACCACTGATAAATTATCTGTCCTCAAAGATATACATTACCTTAGTTTTAAATCTTAAATCCTTACACAGAATATGTTCATGCTTACACGGAATGAGGTAAAGGTGAACTCATTTAAAGACAGACCTTGCGAAGTATATGTACCTTTATTTCTGTAAAGTAACATCTATGTCTAATTCAAATACTTTGAAAGTAATATTTTTTTTAATCTAGAACTATTGTTTAAAATATTCCCAACCATTTTTTCTCACAAGGAAGCTATTAAACCAAGAGTTCCAAATGGTGAAGTTGAAGTCATCCCTTCGTAAATTTTAGGGACGCCATCACGGGTTGGTTGACCGTTATGGAATAACCGTTTCACAGATGGTATCGGATTTGTTCCTTATGTCGTAACTACAATACCCTTCCCTTTTCACGAATGTGACTTACCGAATTAGACTATTTACCGGATTTGTAATAAAATAAGCAACACGACGGGTGCCACATGTGGAGCAGGATCTGCTTACCCTTCCGGAGCACCTGAGATCACCCCCAGTTTTTGGTGGGGTTCGTGTTGCTTAGTCTTTAGTTTTCTATGTTGTGTCATCTGTACTATTATTTGTTTGTTTGTCTTTTTATTTTTGGCCATGGCGTTGTCAATAGATATAAGAAGATGTGGTATGAGTGCCAATGAGACAACTCTCCATCCAAGTTTTCAGTTTGTTTTCGATCTATGAGTTTGACTGTCCCTCTGGTATCATTCGTCCCTCTTTCAAGGTAACCACAATTTCAGTTGAAACAAGTGTATGTTCTGAGTACAGTTCACTGATTATCAACTCTGAAAAGTGTTCACTACATATTTCTTACCTTCCCTGAGATATTCATATATGTCAATAGGTTTTGCTTAGAAAATAAATGATTGAGTCAAATGACCTATATGCTGATTTAGTCTCTGACCTGGTTCCTGTAGTCTGGCTATTTCTATTTCCTGTTGATGTTTAGCCATCAGTCTGTCTATCTCCTGCTCAAGTTTTCTCTCCATCTCCCTCTTTACTTCTCCTGTTTTCTTCTCCAACTCTGTTTTGTAAAGTTGTTTGAGATATTCAATCTCGTCTTCATGCTTGAGACGTAACTGTGCCAGATTTGTCTCTGAGTCCTGACGAGTTCTGTCCTGCATGGTTTGGATATGTTTATGGTGTTGCTGAGATAGATCATCTCTTGACTCCATAACTTTCTACATTGATAAAAATATATGTGAAGGTAAACTATCATCCCAAACTGGCCTAAGCCCACATCATTACCATGTTAATCAAACAAAAGAAACCAAAGACTGCAGTAGACTAAAAATGTCTTTTAAGTCAAAATTGACATTAAATTGTCAATGCAAAGACACATACAATTTTATGAATAAAATATAAACAAGCATTCTGTGAGTATTACATGGCAATACATCGTCCCCTACCGGTTAAAAATTCATTGTACGGAAACAAAATGCTAACTTGATCTATAAATTGGCACGGTGTTAACTATATAACAAATATCAAGTGAATTTTCTAATTTTATCTGGAACTTGTCATGATAAAACAATACACCAAATATTAAACCAATATCTTCAAGGACAAAGAAAGAAAAAATTGGAAAACTGATTTGCCGGACTAGTGGAAGGACAGAGACAGACGGACGGAGTGCAACCTAAAGTCCCCTTTGACTTCTTCGGTAGCGGACTAATTACACAGTTCCTGACTAGGCTTAAGGACAACTAGTGTGTTTTACGCTTTACGTAAAATGAATTAGACGGTGACCAAGAGCACAGTCTAAAACTGTTGTATTATACGTTTTGTGTTTAGAAAATAAATAGCGCTTACGGGTAAGACTTCATCAGCAAATCAAAATGCAAGAAAAGTAGTAAACAGAACCTGATTCATGTGCCAATAAATATGATATAGCTTAACAACATGGACACATTACTAGTATTTTTCATCTCAACATGTTCAGAACAAATCTAATTACTTTTAGTAACTCTTTCAAGTATTTCAAAACTTGAACAAATTAAAGTTTAAAGGAGCACTAGCTGTCAAATTCATGTTCACCGATTTGACTCAAATTCTGATATTTTATTTATAACAATGTAAAACATTTATCAAAATTATAAAAGTCTAAAATAAATACTTTACAGGGCATGGGCTCAAGAATATGTAGCTTCTTTTCGTGTGTATTTTAGTCTTGACGCCATCTAATTCACTATCGAGTTGACCTACGAACACCACCGATGATCTTATAAGCGATATAAACAAAAATATAGATATAAATAGATAGGGAAATCGTGCATTTGAAATTTTCTAGGTCTGTTTAATTTCATATCATAGATTAAAAATATATGTTAATATCATTTTACCTGTATAAGAATGATGTTTTGTGGATAGAATCAGCCAATCAAATGATTTACCTTCGTTTCACTTTCAATGTTGACATTCTTTTCCTTTAAATAACTCAACACGCACGATTCATGCGTTATCCATCTCTAGCTAAGGGATTAAATTGAAGTTCACATGAATACGGATTCAATGAGGTCGAATTATTCACTTGCAAGTGAATAATTCATCATCAATGTTTCTAAGCTTAATTTGACAAAATTGAACCATACTGGCCGCTAAAAGTGAATCATTATTTCACTTATTCACGTCCATTAATGATTGAACAAAAAAAAATATAATTTAGATTTTTTTATATATCTCGTACCTAGTGCCCTTTTAACAAGTCAAAATTGGTGAACAGAATTTGACACACTAACAGAGGAACATTTAAATAAACATTTCAGTGGCAGACGAAAACATAATTTTTGTTAACTTACCCTGACATAATCTTTTGCAGACATGGATACAGTAGTACGAAACAAGTCAAGTTCAGAAAGTGCTGTCTTAAGATCTTTCCTGAGTTCTTTGATTTCCTACATCAGTTCGAGTCTGTCCATACCCTCTTATTCATCATCAGATTCTAGATGTTCTGATCTGTATGGATAACAATCTCTCTATAAATAAAGTTTTACTTAACTTAATAATAGAAAAAAATCCAGTCAATATAAGCACTGAAATCACAGTTTTGAAATTTGCCACATTTCCCCCCTAAATCCTCTCAAAAAACAAATTTCTCTTTTCAATGTCAGTTTTAATTTCTATTAATTTCATTATTTTTATCATTACTTAAGCTACACACATATTTATTTTGCACTGTTATGGAGATATATAAAGTTAGTTTTGCACCTTCCCTGTTATATATAATGTGCTTAATGGGCCGTGTTGAAGGCTGTACTTTGACCTATAATGGTTTACTTTACAAATTGTGACTTGGATAGAGTCTTTGTCTCATTGGCACTCATATCACATTTTCTTATAGTTAGTTATAAAGTGAAAATACATCATTATTAAGATTTACAGGGTACAAGAAAGTTATTGCCTTGTGGTACGTTAATTTGATGAATAATGAAACCCTTAATATATTCACTGCTTTACAGATCTCTTTTCCACTGCAATAATTCTCACTATGTTGGCAATGAAATAACAAACCAAAACTTAGTTTAAGTTTAGTAAATGGTCTTCTGTAAATTCAGTAATTAATGCATGCATTTATATGCGAATCCTGAACTGTACAAATATCTGAAATCTAACTACTGTAATCAGGCTTATATAGTTCGAACTGGTACATTGTCTGCACTCCCTTCTCTCCACGAAATTTCAGGTAAAAAAACTTCTTGTAACTGTTAGAAAATGTCTAATGAATCTCCGGTAGTTTCAATTCGTGTGTGGTTGATTGCGGTATTTTCATGGAAAAAAACATTTTCCATCACCAAACAGAAGTTGAAACTGCTTGTAAATGATTCTAGAATACTTCACGATTGTTAAATAAAGTCAAAATCACACAAAAAACAATTTAGAAACTTGTGTATGTTTAAACCGGAAGTTTTAATAGCACGTGTACAAGAAAATTAAAACGGTGAGAGTCGAAACCAGTACTTAATTGATATCACTATAATAGGACTTTGAAAGTAAAATTGTTCCATCATTGTGATAAAAAAATGTTTAATATGTCTATTACATTAATGTTTGTACGGTACTAAGCATATTTGTCAATATGAAATATCAAATTATGGTTTGTAGTTAATACATCGTAAGCTGGTTTACGGTTGACTTTAATACTTTTTTTCGTTCTGTTTCATAATCAAGCAAATTCCAGTTTGTTTTAAACAATGCAGTGAAAAGAAACGAGAAATTTGTAATGAAGCATTTAATTTTTAGATTTATCAGTTTTCATTTGAAATTGAATAAAATTAACTTATCAATATTAATAAGGTAAAATTATTAGTTTTGAAAATGATAAGAGCGCCCTCTACAGTATAAATAACAAACATGGAGGAACGTATACAAACAACCTCACGAAATCAATTTTTTTTCAAGTTCTTGCTTATTGTACTCTATAGTCCGCACCCCTGTCATGCATTCTGCCTTTTTTTTAATCAAAACTCCTGTCCTGCCTTTTTCAAATTTCATTAGTTTGCCTTGGATATTCCAGTACTACACAACTCAATTGCTTCTATTTATGTATACATCTATATGTATATCTAATTAATTAAAAAAAAAATCTGTTTGTATAATGCAAAGGGGAAAATTGTTACGTGTGTGTGTGATCTTTTTTTTCCCCTTTGGCCAAAGATAGTGTGTCATAAACTAAATTGCAATACCGTCGATAAATCATTCTTGCAACACATGAATTTGTGTATTTACAAAACTTATTTTCTGGTAGCGTATTTTATTGTTGAAAAATGAATACTGCCCGTTTTTTAATGTTATTGTCGTTTATTTGTGTCTCGTTGACATACAACCGGTTCACTTTTTCTTTATATTTTAAAACATACGAGATGACATCAATACCAATTCATGACTCAAAATGAGAAAGGAAAGGAAAAGCTCTTTCATGATTCTACTCAATGTCGAAGTCACAATTTAGTCTTTTAAGAAATGTAAATAAATAAATAAATAAAAATATTAGAAAAAGGTTACATTGTGTAAATTATAACAATTTTTTCAACTTCAACTGAAATATTACATGCAATATTTTTACTGCGATCTTAAAAAGAAAGGTAATATATACACTGCCGTCAATTATTGTGTGGGTCTGACATGTGTAAGTTGGGCCGTTTAAAATGAAAATAAATAATTTATTCTAAAAAAGAAGAGATTAAAAAAGTAATGTAAAAATATACATGTATGTGTATGAAAACCCCCCTCCTCCCCAAAAACAAAACAACAACACACAAACACACATTCAGAAAGGTAGAATAGTCGGTGAATAATCATTCTGCTACCAATGGTTTTTCACAAGTATAGTAGTTAGCAAAAAAGTTCCAGTTTCCAAAATACACCAAACTATACATTTTACCTACACGTAATTCGTAAAGTAATGCAAATTTCATAAGGCTTGGTCCAAATAGCTTTTTATTGTCCAATATCTTGCAAGTACGAAAAAGACCGTACAAAAGTATATTTTGTCTATATTTTATAATCATTGCACAACTATTGAAAGTTGATCATGCATTCGTTCTAAAATAAAATTTTACACAAGATAAATTTTAAAAGATACTAAGCGAAAAATTAAACAACCGCAACGGGTTAGTCGCTTTTAGTCCGAAAAGAGATAATAGCTAACATATATATTGTAACTTTTATAGCTAATTAAAAATAATTTCATGTTTAAAGAACGTGCGATATTATAAAAATTGTTTATCAAAATCTAACAAAAACGAAAGTAAAGAACGTTCAAGTAGTCAATATTAATCAAAAAATAGTTTTTCGAATTATTAGATTTAGGAGTTGAGAACCTTTGGTGACCCCACAATTTGAATGTCTATAATAAGTACGACGTGATAAGTGGGCGTTACAGACCATCGTTCACATTTAACCCAGTCAATGGGAAATTTTAGCCCGCCAAAAAAATGCTCAGGACTACGCTGTTATGAAAACAATTCTATACTTCCTGGTGCTATAATAAAATGTTTCGCCGAGCGCAGCCTGATACGACCGCAGAGGTCAAACCCTGAACAGTTGGTGCAAGTTTGGACACACTATTCGAGCTTGATACTGAATGAATTTGGATTGTGATCAAATTTTTACATAATATAGGTTTTTGACACAAAATAAATGTGGCGAAATATCTTAAAAATTTTAAATGGGTTTAAATATTTTTAATTGAAGATTTCTTGCTTTTGCGTAATACTGTGATATTGTACAATATTTTATAATAACAAAATGTATGCAAGGACGGCTGTCCTACTGCACCTTACCGAGAATCGTTTTCTGCATTGCGAACGACCCGCATTTCCTGTTTGATGGGATACAGTGCTAATTTATTGTTCCGGTAGAGAAAGCTTTTAGCATCGAGTTAAAAATACTTGATGGCCTGATTTACTTTCAAAAATTCCACAAAACAATGTGACTCATCTATACATCATCAACACGGACAATTTCTCACTGCTATCTTATCCCCGCCTATAAACCCACGTGAATGTGGGCGGATCTTTTTTCAAGAATTATATCATGTGCAAACCTGAGAATTCTTCAGCCACCAAATGTGAGCTCAACAAAGGCACGTAGCTAAGAGAATCACTAGAAGTGAACTCAAAAAAAGCACGTAGCTAAGAGAATCACTTGAAGTGAACTCAAAAAAGGCACGTAACTAAGAGAATCACTAGAGTGAACTCAAAATGGCACGTCGTTTTAATAGAAATGCTAAAAAGCAAAAAATCCGATTCTACAATAAAAAAGAACGGAATGAATATAATATGCAGAAAAGAACTGCACATGCGAAAAAACATGTAGTTAATCTATCAAAACGCAAATTATCAAATCAGGAATATATCCTGTTGGCGAAAGGCTTGCAATTTATACCAACGCCATCAAGCAAAAATGCAAAAATGTCTATACTTAAAGACTACAATGAATTTGCTAGAAAACTACGATGTCGATATATGTTCAGTCAAGAGAAAACTGAACTTCATCCATTTCGTAGCAATACAGGATATAAACCTTCATCTACATGCCATACGTTGGAAAATTATATCGATTTAACTAAACTTGAATTATCTTTTCTACCAATAGAAAAAAATGTAAAAAAACAATCTTACTGAGGGTGAAAGAATAGCACTACGCAATTTGGAAAATGATGAAACAATAGTAATAAAAAAGGCAGATAAAAATTCAAATTGTGTTATATTAGACAGAATAGACTACATAACAGAAGTCACAAGACAACTAAATTCTCAACATTACTGCCAATAAGTTTCATTTAACATGGCAGACTTGAAAACCGAGGTCATTGAGTATGTTAAATCACTATACGAACAAGACATAATCGACAACATATCATTTAAATTTTTAACAAATGGTAAAAAATTAAGAGATGCACGTTTAGGAAGAATTTATATTCTTCCAAAAATTCACCGTCTTGAAACAGAGACGTTTTAACAAATACAATATGATGGATTAAATGAATTAAATATAATTCCACCTGGCAGACCAATTATATCACAGTGTGGTTCCGTAACTGAACTCATTGGTCATTACGTAGATTACTTTCTTATACCAATAGTTCAAAATCAGTCTACATATATAAAAGATACTACATCGTTCATTAATATCATTGCGAAATTAAAACCTATGGCAAATAGCCTTTTGGTTTCGTATGATATAACACAGATGTTTACTAATCTTCCTCAAGAAGCTTAATTAAGTGCTGTTGAACGAGCTTATTACAGTTTTGACAAATCAAACTTCAAAGTCAATGCTCCGCCAGTCAATGTATTGATACATTTATTAAGACTCATTTTAGAAAACAATGTATTTGAATTTGATGGAAAAATTTATAAACAAATAATAGGTACGGCAATTGGTGCAGTTCCTTCACCGGAAATCTGTGACATACCTCTTATGTTCGAAATAATGAATCAAATTATTTCTGCATTTCAACAGAAAG